ACACACTCAACCAGCTCTAGGAATATTTGTCTCATCCGCACTAAAATATTTCTAAAGATCGGGATGCACACCTTTCGTCCTTAGAAGCTGAAAACTTTGTACTTGTGCAAGGTTCAGCCCCTGACAGGTTCGAAGACAGCCAATGCATCAAAATCATTTGTAGGTTCCGCGCAAATGCTGTGGATCAGTGGACTCTCCACGGCTACTCTGATTAGAGGCACTGGAGCTATGAAAGCACCCGGCGCTCGCGGCAAGGGGTGTTATACTAGCACCACGTGGGACACAGTTCTCAGAGGGCTGCAGCGTCTCGGCCTAACTGTGCATAAAATGTTCAAGCTCGAACAAAATTACCCCCGCAATGCAGCCCCCACCTCACTTTACCCCATCGCGTACCCTCAGCCCACGCTTCGACGTGGACAGACGCGCTGAAGTTAGGCAGGCGGGCGCGATGCTGAGAGACTTGATCGGCACTTGCTAGATCAGAAGCAAATCTCTCCCATCTCTCGACCTGCCTCAAGGTCGCCCGCTTCTGACGAACTTCAAGGCTGCTCGTGCTGGCGGCCTCAGGCTAGCTCACCCGCCAGGGTTGGGCTCGCAAGGCTGTGAGAGGTCCGGCGATAACCAGCCTTCGCTACAGCGAAAGGGACAATAAACAAGGGCACCTCTCATCGGATAGTTTGTCAGGCCGCTCGCGGCCGTTTATAACGGACCACTCGTAGTGTTGTACGTTTTACGTTTTTAATGTTGTTCGTTGTCTGGAAGTGAGCTATGCTGCGAGTTGCTCAAGTCATGAGGGTCAATGGTGCATTGGTCATGATTTCGGAATGGCATTTCTGAACCCTTGTTACTCTTGTTGATGCGGGCGCTCAACAAGTTGATTACTGCCAATATAATCATCGCTTAGCACTATTATGTCTAACGATTTCCTCTTGGTATTCTCAACGCTGCTAACGCAGCATACGGACGTTGAACTCATACCGAAAAACTAGGGATGAGCGCCTTTCTCAGGTCAAGGCCACGCTTTCTGAGATTGCAGCAGCTCAAGTCCCATTGGTCTGTTGGTCCGTCTATTTGACCGTCTCTCAGTCGTGGTGTCGTCAACGAACCCTTCCCTCCCCCCCCCCCCCCCCCCCCCCCCTCCCGGCGGCCACTTCCTGGACATCTTGGCCTGCCACGTACCTGCCAGACGCGCCCTGTTTTGATGGTGACCCACCGGTGTGGCCGCAGCTCTCGTCTGCCTGGTCTGACGTACACGCGCAGCCCGAGATGAGATGACCCCGAGGCGGGGAACGCCTCACGTGACGTCACAGACCCTCCGAAAAGGACAGAGGCGGCGCCAGACAAAGAGCCGGGGAGCGGGATCAGGTAGGAAAGACGGCAGCATCGGGGGCTTCTGCTGGTCCTTTGTCGCCAGTATATGCACGCTGACGCTCATAACCACCTGGCCGTCATGCGCTCTGCGACGTATGTCAACGACACTGGAGCGGCACAGGTGATTGGGCGTTTCCCTGTCGCTGGGGCCCGTGCCTTTGAGGCTGGCCTCGTTCTGCGGGCTTGGATGGCGCGCCGGACGCACCCATCCGAGCCGCAGATCAAAGCGCCCCGTTTAATATGCACAGGCGCACGAACATGTCAGAAAGTGAGGTCAGTGCCAGCTTTGAAGTCGACTATTCCTATGTCTTGGGGATAGGCAACACAATAGCATGCACCACAATAGGATTAGTGCTGAACATTCCGTGAAGTTTGAGGTCACAGCCCGCTGGCACTCTTGTTCCTACGTCCATGGTTTTACGTGTCAGGTTGATGTGGCCTTTCCAATATCTGGTGCACTGCCCTAACGATTTACGGAGATCCCTGTGCAAGCCACCGATTAAGAGCCTTACTTATCACTCGCCTTGGCTGCGGCCCTCGCCAAGTTGGCACTGGGGGCAGAACAGTGCGGTAGCCTTTCTTATCACCTGCCTCGGCTGCGGCCCTCGCCAAGTTGGCACTGGGGGCAGGGCAGGGCGGTAGCCTTCTCTTCCAGTGGTGTCTTCGGATTGGAGAGGTAGAAAAACGAAGTTAAACACAATGCTAGTGCTATATAGACGAACTACGATAACGTCAGATGCTAGTGCTGGACGAACGGAACGTCATTCGATAGTTCATGCAAAAGCTTCAAAAAACGAGCTCACGTCCTGTGGTGTCTGAGGTCAGAGTCAAGGTAAAGTGTAAGCAAATGCCATTTTTTACGTTTGAATGTTCTCCAAATAACGCCTCTTGGGCAAAAATTTGTGTGAAGTTATCTTTCTGCTTTGCTGCAATGACTGTATACGGGTAATTACTGACTGTAATTGGCATTTGGGGCGCTTGCCACAGGTCAATTAGTTCATAGAAGTCAATTGCTGTTCTGCCTGAACGGGATGCGTCTTTGCTTATCAGTCATGTTTCAGTTTTACAAAAAGGCTGAGACGAGATTTAATATGACGGGTGGATTAATCGCTCGGGGTATTGTTGTTGTCCGTTGTTAGTATTTACACACGTCTTGGTAACCTAATTCTCCGACTGTCTTACAGTGATTTTGAGCGTTGATGAGCATTGAACCTTGTGAGCCACTTAGACCTGCGAAGTGAGGGATTTGCAGTTACAAACGCCCGGGGTGAGGACGATAGCCTGTGCAGTTATTCCACCTAATTCTGCTCGTTTTTGTCAGAAAACAGCCTTGTTTGGTGTGATAGTTGGTTTGAATATACCCTAACTTTCGTTTTGAACTGATGCAATGACCTGCGTTGACCTTTCGGACGTCCATTATCATGTCTGGGTTAGAACATAGTGCTGATCGAAGGAGCGCACTACATTGAGAAACAACCAAAAGACAATGCAAATGACTAGGGGCCATAGATCAGACCAAGCGTTAAATGACTGCATTGAGTAAACCACCGGCGCTATTCATTTGGAAATGATCGCTGAATTCTTTCCAAGCCTAACACGGTCAGGGGCATCGCTGGGATTTTCTGGTTTCCTCAGACATATTGAGAACATTGTAAGCGTCCATTTAGATCGAAATGGCGTCTATTTTCTATTAATATGACCAGCACTTGTTCCTCTGTTGATATTCAACTTTCATTCATAATCGAGTTTTGAAAAATAATTTATGATGTTATAGCTATATAGTTATGTTCATGTTTAATTACATGGGATAGAAGCCATAGTTATGAACATGCACCCTCGCTAGTGTAGAAAACAAAACCCCGTCGCCCGGCGTTGCAGTCTCCGCAGGCATCGCGTCGTCGCCTTCATGTCTGATATTAGGCGGCGGCTAACAGGCGAAGAGACGTTGATGTGCTTGAAAAAGTAGTTGTATCAGTGATGCAATGACTGTCATGATTGCGATGACTCATTGTCGAACAGACAACAAGCTGACGTTTACCTTACCTATGGAAATTCATAAGTTTTGCTTGAGGAACCGAAACCGAGGTGGCGGTAGCCGTAAAACGAGCTATGACTGACAGCAAGGGCAAAAAGGTCATGTCGCAATCACGCTGAATTGCAAAATAGCACAAACGCGCGCATTGAGCCTACATGTCATACATTGGGCTTGCTCGCGATACAGCATACTCGATGACAAACAATGACATGAGCATAACTCCCAACACCATGTGATACAATTCACCGAAAGGTGAGACAAAAAGCTTCATTTAAAAGGAGGTTTTGCAAACCTCATTTACCAAAAAGAAAAAACACAGTCGTGCTCTCCGAAAATTTACCACTGCATATGAAGCTGAAGGTTATAGCTTTTGCAGATATCATAATATCAGTCGTATCCTCACTGCTTATAGCAGGGAGTTAGGAGCAGGGTGCAGGGAGCCACTGATAGAGAGAGCTCCGGGTAGGAACTGATGAAGCTCACCTTACTTTTCCCTAACAGAAACCGATGAGCATTTACCGTGGCGCAAACTGGTGCTGAAAGCTGGTGCTGGAAGCTGGTGCTGGAACTGGAGAGGTAAAGGCGAAACCTTGTTTTGATGTTGCTGACTCTACAGATCTTTAAAGGGCAACCGGAACATTGCGCAGGGAAATGTGTGTGAACCAGTG